CCAAAGAAGGAACAGGCCCGGCAAACTAGAGCAATTTAATCAAACCTGAGAAAAAGGAGCCAGAAAATATCTATCTATCCTCTCCCACTTGAAACTTTGCCTAATTTTTGTACTTTACATCCTGTGTTCTTCACCCAATAGCAGAAAAAAAAAAATTGAATCAGAGTTAGCTATTGAATTCACAGTTCAAGCTCTTGATTGTGTCATTTACCACATTATGCCTGAAATTTGGCATATCTATCCTACCCTTCCACAAGTCTGATGAGTTTTAGAGGCCACAGTTGATCTGACTCTGGGGCATGGCTTTGTCTTGAATACATATTTTTGTGAAATGGAGATTAATGCAAAAACCAGTAACTGCTAAAGCAAGACAAAAATTATAGAAATAAAAGTGTACGGTGATATTCAAAATGACTAAAAGCTATTATACACAATATGTATTTTAAGTTATATAGATGCATGCTGTGAGAAAATGCATAAATTTTTAAAATTTACATCATTTTATTCCATTTTCTGTGAGTTTTCTGAAGTTCCCTCATATCACAGTTACTCATTCCTATAGTGTCTTTTGTCAATTTCTATTTCTACCTGTGACAACCTTGTATCTAAATCCATGCGCTCTAATTTGTCACTGACTAGTCATAATTTTTACTGTATCATGATTATTCTTGAACATTGTGTCAAAACTAGTCATTTTTCTACACATTGTATAAAAAAAGATTTATAAATTGTTTTATACTGGTTATGCCTTTCACTGCCAGAACAGCCTTTCAGTTTTTAAAATGAAAATTAAAACATTTCTTTTACTTTAAACCAATTATGAAAAAGATGTGCATATTACAACTAATTTGCTCATTTCCAAAGCCAAGAAAAAGTAATTCTAAGAGAGCTATGCTGTTGTCTACAATTTAGCCTAAATGAACTACCTTTACATTAAGTCAAATGATTGTAATGAACAACATTTGACATCAGTAGCTTTGAAAGTTGTGCCACATGATGAGGTGTTCAACATTCTAATATTTAAATGCATCTTTTTCCCAGTGGAAAAGTTACCGAATCACCAAAGCACTACAGATTGTATTTCATAGTGACAAACTGAAGAGCCAAACCAAAAACTAATATCAATAAGAAACTTATCTTTTTCTTAGTGTAGGGATGTCTTCATCATCTACACTACTGTCAGGACAGACTACTTACAGATTCCAACTGCTCCTCATGGTCAGGTAACAACACCTTCACTCTGGAGCCATCCCTTCCAAAAATTACATCCATCTACATCTCTGCCTATTGAACTTGTATTTACTACTTCTGATTCAAGTAAAATAACTTCTGCGAGAGGGAAACTTTTCTGTGTTTCAACAGCACATTGTTATCCATATGATAATGTATATTTCATTGCCTGTTGAAATGTCTTGTTACTGTTTTTGTTCCCTTAATGCCAGGGACTATGGCTTGAATCATCAGTGTCACACACAGTGCCTGGCACTTTAGAAACTCAGAAAACAATGTTCATTTGTTTTAAGAAAGGCAGTGTTTACAGCAGTGAGATCAAGACGATAGTCATACTGACAAAGGAACATTACTTGGTGGTGCCCTAAATGAAGAAACACTTGATTATGTGCAACCTAAAATACACTGCATGTATGGCATCCAAGTTAGGAATATCAAACTGAGAACTGATAGCAAAATAAGTAGGCATCTTTCATATAAAATTAAGAAACTTTAGAAAGATGTAGGGAGTCAGTGTACACAATGTAGTTGGAATGAAAAGACCATCAAAACTTAACCAAACACAGATCTTTCGTTATAGTCTTATGAGGTGAATTTCCAGTAAATATAGCACATAAGTGAAGAATATTGCATTACAATACTGATTCTAATAAATGAGAAACCAAGTAAAGCAGACGAGATCAGGAGTGTTCAGGATGGTATAGCCATAGACAGAAGCCAAGTGGAGCATTAGGGGAATATAAATAAGGAAGTAAACTAAGCAAATTATCAAGTCATTTGCAACAGAATGTAGATAGATGGTGTTGAAAGAAAGATGAGTAAATGTTAAGTTTCTAAAAAAACCAAAAAGATGTAGATAGAGCTCTCTTTCAAACAAATTAAATGTCAAAACATAATTTTCAAAACATGGTTGAGTATGGGATAATCTATACTCCATATATTTGCAAATGGCAGCACTCTAGAAAACATCTAATGAGGATAATTAAGAAACCAAAAGGGTGGTATGAAGAAAAGGGACACAAAAAATAAAGATAGAATGTATGACAATACAGTTCTGATTTTTCAGTTTCATTTTGCTATATATTACTCTACTTTAAAAAACACTGGTTTTAGAACAGTAAGCAAATTATCAGGAATCTTACATGCTATATTACAGCTCAATTCCCTTTTCAGTCATTTGTGGCTTTTGTGGCTTTTCCAAAAGTATGAGTGATGTGATGACAATGAACCTTTTGGTTTGTTTCTTTTAAAGACTCAGTGTTGGTACTCATGCCATCCCTCTCCCTGTAACACTGCCAACCTAGCAATCTAACATGTTAGCAAGTGATAGAGGAGCTGTTAAATTTGTCAGGATTTGTAGAAAAACAACAAAACAAAATATGGATGGTTTTTAATCGTGTGGCTTCTACTAAGGTGCTGCTAACTAGGATTTGCTAGGAAAAAAGCTTTCCTTGAAAACAATCAACAGCTTCTTTGAGTGTAATTTATGGCTTTAGATACCATCTAAAATTTTTACCATCTCAGGAGCAGGATAAGAAATTCTTTAATTTATAGTTTGGAGATGTGCCTACACACTTCTCAAACATTATCACGTAAGATTGGAATAGCTTCTATTTCAAGTTATTTTCAATTATATAAACTGCAATAAGCATTCTCGGATGTGATTTGACGGGTATAAACTGGTGGAATTACACAGAAGAATGAAAACTGGACTGTATTTTCCATCAAACACATTGCATTCTCCCTTGTTGTTTTCAATCTATTTGAATCTTATATTCTCAAAGCGTTTATTTTGGAATCATTAGATTTTAGAATTTGGGTTTGGGTTACTGGCTGGGTTTTGAAAATATAATAGCTACAGATCTTTGCTAAGCTTCCACCTTAAAACATTGCTTTATCCAACCACAAGCTCTTTGTAATCTTATACAAATCGTGTCTCTGGGAGAATGTGAATAGTAGAAGTTACGAATCTAGAGAGAAAATGTACTTATTTTCATTTGACATGTTGAGACCAACTACAGAAATGTGTAAATAATTGCAGAGATTCTTTCTGTAAAACAAATGAATAAATGCCTTCTTGAAAATGTTACTTTATTAAAGAATCTAGCCAAGGTGTGGAAAATTGCAAACCATTTCATTTATGAAAACTGGCTAACAATATGCATACTGGAAAAAAAAAAAACAGCAATCATAAGTACCTGTACTCGGACTTCTTAATTCTGGGACAGAATTTTAAGATCCTTGTTGATGTACTTCTAAGGTAAATTATTTTGTTTAATGATAATAAAAAACATTGTCACATTTAATACATTGTTTTCATACTTATTTACACATATGAAAGTTGGGAGATCTTAGAAATATGTTTATAATGTATATATGAATATATACATATTTAAATAATATTGCCAAAAAAATCTGAATAAAAACTTTATTCCAACAACATTTCTCTATTTTAAATCATGTTTATTAAATTTTTATCACAGTGGAGATAACCTCGCTCTCAATAATGCAATCAGTGCCTACTTTCAAATTCGTCAAATTCTAAAAAATTTAATCAACTCATTCATACACTCTAAGCCCTGTTACTATCCCACCATTCATTGCCTGTCTTTTTTCCCCCTTTTAATGTCAACATTGTGATAAGATTGTGAGAAGATATAACTAACAGACTCATAGGTATAACACCATTTCTTCAAGTATTCAGAGAGCAGTACATTTGCCTGCATTATACATTAGGAAACTACTTGTGACATTATTTCTAGGTACAACAGAGTGGCTCCTGGTGGGAGTGTACTGAAGTTGTATGTCATAGTGTATGACAAGGATTTACAGCATTCTAGAATTTTTCAAAACTCTTCCACATTCTTGAATGATCTTGGGTAAATGTATTTTTCTACTCTCAGCTGTCAGACATGGGTTTTCAAACTACAAATAAATAAAGCATACACTCAACATGTGTAGTGCAAATGCTAAGTAAACAGAATGACATGGAATAAACCCATAGTTGCCAACAAGTGAATGGTTCAGCAGGGAGGTCCTGATTTACGATGCCTATTAGTTGCATCCCTGCTCCCACCTGAATACTGCCACCGTTCCATGTCAGCCACAATTCCTGCAAAAGGCTGCTGAAGTGGGAGGGGGTAAAACGGTGAAGACACAAGGAGGAACTCCTTCTAACAAATAAATGGTACAACTTATCTGTCCTGTTTTTGTGTCACTGTAAAATCTGATTTGCTAGCAAAATCTCATGCCTCTTCAGACAAAAGCAGGTACCAAAATGCAGAACTGCAAACATCACATGTAAAGATAGTGTTGGCACCTATGGAGCATAGATTGTGTGGCCCAGACAACAACCGGCATGAGATGAGATTTCAAAGTTCAAACTCTGGACATGTAACCTCAACATTCTAAAGTTACATTATAGAAAAGCCATTGGTTACATACACATTCAAGCACTGATCCTCTTTAAAAATGTCATTACAGACAGTAATTTTTAGTATTCTGAATGAAAGTCATAGCCTTTTTGCTTTATCTTAATGACTCAATTAACATAACGGTTTCCGTTACAATGACATATTTAAAAAACTGAATTTTTTCGAGAGGAAAATTATTGCGAGGAGATGAAAAGTGAAATGTGACAGGTAATGATACATTTGCTTCATTACATGTTCTCCTTGCACAAGTATTCACAGTCTGTGAGCAAAGGAAAACAAGCAAGGAATACAAGAACAGCAAAAAAAATCCAGACCTTCAAGCTTCTCAGTTTCTTTCTCTGTATTCAGTTTCTAGGGGAAAGTATTTTTGCACGTTTGTGTTCTGGATTCACGCACATTAAATGCCGGAAGAGAACCATGTGGAACCTGCTTGTTTACTTCAGTTTTAAATGTGGTTTATCCTCAACAAACAACAGTGAGCAGCCAAAACTCAGGATACACGCATGCGCACCCACACTCAACTCTTACTAAGAGGACGGAAACCATTCCTTATCTGGGACACGCACACGACAAGATTCAAAACTAAGGTCTGACATGGTTGCTTAACTGATTTAAATAATTAAGGCTTCTAAGAGGTTCAGTGCCCAAACTCACTACAACATCAGTGTTTGAAAACACTTTTTTTTTTGCATTTTAGGTTTGTGCTGCTTGCAGCCTTCCTCATTCCACAGAATTTCATTAGTAAGATCTGATAAGGGACTGTTAGAATTGTTTTTACTGATGTTTCCCTTTTAGTAGCTGTTAGACTAAATTATAGCAGTAAAGATTCAATGACTGAACCAATTTGTTTCTATTACGCGGGCCGTGTTGGCTCATTTCACCTTCTTTTCATGTTTAATATGGCCATTTCTTTTATACTTGCCATTGAGGATCCCGTTGTGGTAATGTCCATTGACTGCACTATGCTTATTTCTAGAGCACAGGCTTTTGATTTTTCTGTAGATGAACTTTGTCACCCGGGACAAGAGGAAGTACAATAAAGCACCCCCGAGCGAAAGCACAAGAGCAACATCTAGTAAAAAATACTGGAAGAACGAGATCTGATGGACTGCGGCACGCAGGTGGTGGGCTCCATTGTGGCGGAGAATGTAATCTATCCAGTAGACAGTGCGATTGACAGGGTGGCCAGGCTGGTCCTTGTGAATTTCTGAAAGCTTCTGGGCCCTCTGACGGTAGCTATGTGGCAAGGGAAAAACACAGAGCGGTCAAGCTTCTCTATTCACAAGGTTCTCTATCGATGCATCTCTCAATTTTAAAATTGGTAAAATTAAAGCAAGAATCCTTTACCAAGCACCTACATCATGTTAAGTGCTTGAAAAGCTTAATCTTACAGTAAGCCAACGAAAATATTTTATACTGGTAAGAAAAATAAATCCAAGAGATTCAATAATCTGGCTATGATTACAAAGTTGAAATTGAGATTCAAACTTAAGGCTCCATATTCCTCACTCTTTCCTCACTGCTTCACGCATAGCTGTGCTCTTCATAAGCTTTTAAATACTATTCATCAAGTGCTCTCAAGCAAGAAGTAGAGTTCATTCAGTTAATTGTTTAAAAAAAAAAAGAGGACGGAGGGGAAAAAAATGTAAATTTTTAAGATTTTGTTCTACATTTTTTTAGCTGTGACACTGAATTTTCTTTTAATTGAAAGCAGTATTAAGTGATGGCATGAGAATATTTATTACACATCCAAACACGGGTTGAGAAATGCTCCAACCCATGAAGTCATGTGTGACATCATACGCAGATATAATTACAATGTTTCTAACATGTGTGACTCGTATGACATAGCCAGTTAACACGACACAGAGACACAGGATCCAGAACATCCTGGAAAACACTCATGACAGATTGGAATGCAATGGAAGGATCTAGAAGTAGTTGGAGTGTGAAGCAGGAGATTACAGTTATTAATGAAAAAGCTACCTCCACATGTATGAGTTGATTTGATAACACTCTCCATGGTTTATCTCTAACCCTAAACATTAAACCTGAATAAATGAAAGCAAGTTTGCAAAGTGTGAAGAGCAGGAGTTTTGGTCTGAGGGAAAGATCAAATCAAGGCTTTTCCTTATATTTCTTTCATGAGAACCACATAATATGGAATAGTGTAATTTTCAATGGGCACATTTCCTCCCTCATCTATGCTTTATGACAAGGTTACTGACACACAATAAAACCAGTTGTGTGAAGTGGAAAAACAGGCAGTGAGAGATCATGTTCACCTTGATTTGTAACTTAAAATTATTTCTAATTGGCGGCAAAAAGCAAAGTTAATAACTTCTATTACTCCAGAATTTGTGAAAACTCTTATCAAGAAAAGGGCATCTTTAAAATTCCAAAGTAGAAAGTGGGTGTTTTCGACAATAAACTCCAATGATCTGTTTGAAGAAAAAGACAAAAGAAGTGTTTAAAAATAAACAGAACTCTTGCACCTCGGGTACTTTAGTGTCCCTGTGGCTGCCACCCTCTGTCCAATGAGGAGTTAAACAGATATCCATGAGCATTCCTGCGAGGAAACACTTTGCACACTGTTAAGTAAGTGATAACTTTGTATGAAACTTCTGCATGTTCCTCTTATTTGTCAGAAAAGCCCCGGAGAATAAAAGTAAATCACTTAGGGCTGATACCATGCCATAGTATGTTAAACCTCCGCTTGCAGCAGCAACATCCCATATGGGCTCCTGTTCAGATCCCAGCTGCTCCACTTCTAATGCAGCTCCCAGCCTGGGAGCTGGGAAAGCAGCAGAGGATGGCTTAGGTCCTTGGCCCCTGCACCTACGTGGGAGACTCAGAAGAACCTAGTGGCTCCTGGCTTTGGATCAACTCAGCTCTGGCCATCAAGACCATACGGGAAGTGAACCAGCAGATGGAAGATCTCTCAGACTCTTGTTTCTTCTTCTCTCTTTAATTCTGATTTTCCAATAAAAATAATTCTTTTGAAAAAAGTAAATCACTTATAATTTCAACAGGTAACTATACTATTTTTTATCTATGATGGAGATTTTGAGAATTTCATAAATACAGACAGATATTGTGGTGCAGTGGATAAAGCCTCAGCCTGCAACACTGGTGTTCCATATGGGCTCTGGTTTGTTCCCTGGCTGCTCCACTTCCAATCCGTTTCCCTATTAATGTGGCTGTGAAAAGCACTGGAAGATGGCTAAGTGCCTGGGCCCTTCTCACCCATGTGGGAGACCCAGCTGAAGTTGCTGGCTCCTGGCTTTGAGCAGCCCAACACTGGCTACTGTAGCCTTCTGGGAAGTGAACCAAGAGATGGAAGATAATCTTCTTTCTTCTCTTTCTTTTGTTCCCTCTCTCTGATTCTTTCAAAAAATAAATCTAGTGTTTGGCCTTTTTTTAAAGTTAATGGACAGTGAAACTAAAGAACAACTTTAACTTATTGGAGAAACAATTTCTAAACCCTTGCAACATTTTTTTTCAAAATATGCAGATTCATGAATTTTTTACTAACCCACACATATTTGGAGTTCAAGAAATGTTGCACTAAGCTAAGCTTTTATTTCAACTTTCACATTTTTGTAGAAATCTTGTATGTGTATACAGGTGGAAATGTACGTATATATCCCCCTGACCCAGGAGGAAGACCCTGGGCATGCCTTACCCGAGCTGAAGAGAACCCAGATTCTCACTGAGACACTCACTGCTCACCGGGAGCAGACCCTGAAAGCTGGCTGCTTCCTGACAATCTCATTTTGTGCCACTTCCCTCTTCACAAGTTCATGGGTCAGTTGGGAAGGGATGCTGAGGTTGTGAAAGGTCGATTTTAGACAAGGAATTATTTTCTATGCTGGAACTAGCCTTGACATTACTCTGCGCTTTTAGCATAGTTTTTCTTTCAATTCAAAAACTCTCTTCACTAATAGGAAGGTTGCGGTGTGAATTTAAACAGTGAACAATGTTATTGACGGGATCACGTATGCCACTCAGCATCTCTCCCAAGACTCTATTAGAAAAGTACCTCTTAGTGAAAATAACTACTTTGAGAGGCTGACAACACCTGCACACTACATTTGACATGAAGCATGTCTTCTGTTAAAAGGTGGCCACAGCTTGGACATGAGCTATGTAGTAGGGCTCAACTCTCTTCCTCCTTACATTCTGTTTGTTTTTTTAATTTTTTTATTCATTCTGGTTTTTCATTATTATTAGTAGTAGTAGTATTAGAATGTCAGATATACAAAGAAGAGAAGAGACAGCAAGCTCTTTCACTCTTTGATTCATTCTCCAAACAGTTGCAATGGCCGGAGCTGATCCGATTCGAAGTCAGGAGCCAGGAGCCTCTTTCAGGTCTCCCAGGCGGGTACAGGGTCCCAAGGCTTTGGGCCATCCTCGACTGCTTTCCCAGACCACAAGCAGGGAGCTGGATGGGAAGTGGGGCTGCCAGGATTAGAACCGGCACCCATACGAGATCCTAGCGCTTGCAAGGCAAAGACTTTAACTGCTAGGCTACTGTGCCGGGCCTGTTACATTATTTTAAAGTTAAAAATCTCTAGACTCTGGGCCCAGGCACAGTGGCGCAGTGGTTAAGGTCCTCGCCTTGCACGCCCAGGATCCCATATGGGCGCCGGTTCTATCCCGGCAGCCCCGCTTCCCTTCCAGCTCCCTGCCTGTGGCCCGGGGAAGCAGTCAAGGACGGCCCAAAACTTTGGGAACCTGCACCCGCGTGGGAGACCCGGAAGAGGCTCCTGGCTTTGGATCGGCATAGCATCGGCCGTTGTGCTCACTTGGGGAGTGAATCATCGGACGGAAGATCTTCCTCTCTGTCTCTCCTCTCTGTATATCCGCCTTTCCAATAAAAAAAAAACACACATAGTTTGACCTAATGCTTTTTCCCGTTACATATCCCCTGTCCTCAGTGTGGTAAATCTTAACAGCTGTTTCCTCAGGGTAAACATAAGGAGGGTGAAATCACTACGGTTTTTATTTTCCAAATTAAACAATTCATGTACAATGTATTATCACAGGAACTCTAAGGATATTCCCATAGCTTACCTATTAATAATTTGCTTATAGTAACTAGCTATTGACAACATGTTTTGGGATCTATATTTATGAATGATGTATATGTAACTAAAGATATTTGGTATTATTTGAAGCCTTACCTGGGATTATTGATAACTTTCACCAATGCTTCATATAGCTCTCCTTCGGTAACTGTCTTCCACTCCAGCAATATTCCCATGCCTTTTGCCTGAACACGGGTCATTGTATCATAATGATCTCCAAAAAGTGGGATTCCTACCACAGGCACACCATGGTACATAGTTTCAAAAATACTGTTCAACCCACCATGGCTCAGGAAGGCTTTAATATTTGAATGCCCTAAACAAGGATGAAAAAGGAAACAATTTATAATGCTATTATTTCAGAATAGAGATTATCTTATACAGCCATAGTTTATAATAACATAAACTATAAAATATATTACAATTTTCCATGAATTTTTAAAAAGTCCACCCTACAATAAAACACATTATGTATATATATGATTTTAAAGTACAGTTTTGCCATTTCTTGCTCTGGACCTATTTAACTGGTATACATGTAATTATCAGTTTGTGTCAGTCAAAAGCATTTTACGTTGCTGAAATGTGTAGCTTTAAAGAGAATATTGTAACTTTCGCCCAATCACGTCACCCGAGTACTGTCACACACGTAAATGGCCAATAACAAGTAGGTAGCCAAGGAAAGCAAAAATGTCAAACAAGAACAAGAATCCCCCATATTCTACTACAACTTGACACCTACTTTTTGGCTATACAGACATTTGCCAATATTAAATTCAAACAGTCTTTGTAAAAATAATTATGTATAAACATAGTACAGGATTCTAAAAGTCCACAGAGTTTATGTGTTTATCTCAACAAACATTGTGCAGTATCATGATTTTGCAACATTTAAGTATGTCTGCACCTGCGTTTCACAGTTTTAATTTCTTTGAAAGATACAAACAAAGGCGCATTTATGAAAATCAGTCATAAGAGATGGGCCATCATGTCAACGTTGCTTATAATGGAAATAAAAGAAATAGCCTGTCAAAATCAATGAGGCATTACAAAATCCAATTGTGCCTTCCCACAAAACAGCCTATGTCTTATAAAAGGATGGGAAATTTTTCATATGATGTGTGACGATAACAAAGGCTGCATCTACAAAATGTGTTATTGGGCAAACAGGAATTACAACTGGTAGAAATACACATCTTTTAAATACGTATACCAGGTACAAAAAGTGTGTGTCCATCCCAGCCTGCATGGGATTCCCAGCACTTACTGTCCCAAAGTCCATTTTCCAGGATATGTTTTAAACTTCCTCATACTGAAAGTTACATGAAGATGTGTGTACATAGGTTACACACACAATGCATATATAAAATGCATGTATATATTATGTATATGCATATATTATATACGTAGTGTATGGGTATTACATATAACTTGACTGCTTCATAGTCACAAAATTCAGTTTGCTGATTTTTAAGGGGATCTATGTAGTTTCTAGAAAACATGATTTAGGGGCTGTCACTGTGATGCAGCAGAGTAAGTTGCTGCCTGCAGCACATGCATTATACATTAGAGCTACACTTAGAGTCCTAGCTGTTTCATTTTCAAACTAGGTCCCTGATAACATGGCTTGGAAAGCACTGAAAGACGGCCCAAACATCCGGACCCTTCCCACCCACGTGGAAGACCTGGATGGAGTTCCAGGCCCTCCTGATGCAACAACAAACTGAGAACCAGTGGATGGAAGATTTGTTTCTGTCTCTATCCCTGTAACCCAGCCATTCAAAAAGTTAAAAATTAAGAAGAAATACATTCTAAAAGCCTCTTTTCAAAAATTTAATCTAATTTAAGGTCACCTGAACCTTATATTAGTATTATAAAGAGTGGCTAATACTGTTCAAATCATAATCTATTTATAATTGTAATGAAAATTATATTAATCGATAGCTATGACATTATACTTTCAAAATATTTAATGACCAAAACTGTATTTTTACTAGGCATGGTTTCTAAATAAAAGGTTAATTTATTTAGATTTAATTACACATAAAAGATATGCATGTGATAACTTTTTTCAGTTGAAGATAAAAATCTCAAAAAATAAGTCAAAAGAAACACTGTATTTCTACAACACCTGCTGATTTAGGAGAAAACTGAGGCAGATAACTAAGAGCTAAAACAAATCAGCAATTTCCCTGATCTACTACTTTTTTTGGTTTCAGATAGATAAAACATTTCTAACTTTCCTAGATTTTGAGACACAACTGTCATACAAATTTGTATGTTTGTTGTTCCAATATCACATTTACCCAATGAGATTAGTCAAGTACAGCTTTCTTGAGTGCTAATTTACATTAACTTAACTATACTTACCAGATAATTAAAATTGGTGACTGAACTAACAATTGTAATTTATAATCCTGACTAACATATTCTACAAATTGTTTTCCAATAAAGACATGAAATGTTGGGTTGAAGTTTACAACTTGAAGGTCCGGCGCAGTGGCCTAGTGGTTTAGGTCCTAGCCTTGCATACACCAGGATCCCATATGGGCTCTGGTTCTTATCCCAGCTGCTCCACTTCCTTTCCAGCTCCTTGTTTGTGGCCTGGGAAGGCAGTCAAGGTCAGCCTGGAGCCTTAGCACCTTTCACCCATGTGGGAGGCCAGGAAGAAATTCCTGGTTCCTGGTTTGAGGTCAACTCAGCTGTGGCCATTGCAGCTAATTGCAGAGTGGTTCAGCAGATGGAGGATCATTCCCTGTGTAAATCCTCTCTGTGTATCTGCCTTTCCAACAAAGATAAAAATAAATAAATCTAAAAAGAAAAAGAAATTTACAACTCAAGATGCCAGATAAAACATGACTCTCTCCTAAACTATAGTGATACGGTATGAACTACTTAAACACAAAAATCTGTTTACACAATTAAATTTTAATGGTCAAGTAGTCATCCTCATGTTACAAACTTACCCAGCAGGTCATTTTGTGGTAACCATTCTATGAGCTTAGTGTTGTTTCCTAGATTCTTTGGTTTGGTTCCAGAAAATCTGAAATGTACACCAGACAAGAAGCTTTTCAAAACATCAAAACTTAGCTCATGGTTTTGGCTATCCAGTTAAATGATCACATTTCCAATAATCCATGTATTTAAAAAATTAAGCCATGTTTCAACAGCAACAAACATTAATTAACATCCTTCTTAACCAAAGCTTTCTTCCATTTAGGAAATAATGTGCTTTGATACGAATCTATATTATGATGGCTCCTCTAAACAAAGAAGTGAAAGGAACAAATCAGCCTATAGCAGCAGGCATCTGCCACAGTCCTCAGCAACTAAAACAAAGGGCCAGGACAGGCACCGCTGGACAGTCAGTGGTCTTCCCTTAACACTGGAGCCTGAGGGCAGGTGCAAGATTGAACGAAACCAGAAAGTGTGTTTCTTTAGCTGGGCACCATATAGGAGTTCTGTGCAAGAAAGGACATGAATAGGCTACACCCTGGCTGCTCTTCAAAAGGTAAGCCATGAAGGTGTATAATGATTGAGAATCTGGGCTGAGCACACACAGACTGTCCTTCAAAGTAGAACGGTTGCTTTCTGGTTTAAGCCCAAAGAGGAAAGGTGGGAGACTAGAATCTGAAGAGACAGGTCATGAAACGTTAGAGTAAAATAATCATGCAAACCTGTTTCAACTTAGCTCAGCCATGACATGTGCAAGCTAAACAAGTGCAGGAGTCACTCTAAAGGGAAAACCCTCATTACTCACGGCCCACCTGTCACATCTTGAGATACTTTTCTAACTGTGGGGCTCCGGGGTGCTGACAGTGTTCACCAACACATCCACAGAGCCCGGCAGCCGTGGCAGGTACTACATAAATACATGCTAATTAAAGGATTCAGGTTGATGCTTTAAACATAGGGCTGGAAACGTCACACACAGAAAGCTGTTAGCACCATCCAAAGGATCTTCATGCCAACCTTTGGATGTGTCATAACGAGTGTTTATGGCTAACTGCTGATTTTTTTTTAACATCTTTGCTACTTGGACAAGAATATATATATATATATGCATTTTAAAGGAGAAAAAGTGGAAGCCTTAAAAAGATATAGAATATATGTTACCTATTTATTTATGCATCTGTCTTGGTCATTCAAAACTGGTTTAAAGGACTATACAGAAAAATATGAAATTATATTATTTTTAAGGAAATAACAAGAGAAAATGAAAGTAAAAATTTGAAAGATGATTACAAATTCATCTGAACCTAGAATAAATCAATCATCCTGAATCACCTCTTTTCTGTGCGACAGGCCAGAGATCTCTCATTCGTCATGGAGTTTTATGAATCAAGCTCTAGACTTGAACTCATTAAGAAATACAATGAAGAGTCAGCATCATCTTGCACAAGCTGCCAAAGCGCTGTGTTTTGCCACGTGGTTAACGAGGGGATGTGGAACAGTCACAGCGAAGAAGCCACCTGTATTACGGCCTTACCTCCAAAGCACTTTTTGAGGCAGTCTCCCCAGAGCTCCCGCAAGTTTGTTAGCAATGTCTTCTGACAGATATTTGACACCCGCTCCAAATGAGACCAGCACAAAGCCATGTTCGCTAGCACCATTTACCCACTGTTGGAGATCCTGTAAATCAAAATAGGGCAGGTGATTTTATGAAGATCCGTAAAGTTTATAATTAATGCTGTCAATAGTCCAGTTTTTTTCTTTAAAAGCCTTCAACTTTGGTCCTCTAAATAACTGTCAGAGTGGTTCTGGGCCACTCCGCATTCCTAATGGGAAGAGCGAAATATCACAGTCATATTTCATAGATCCTCAAAGGTCTTTTGTTCAGGTAAAATGAGTTGCGATGATCACATCACTTACAACTTTGTCACATAATCCTTTTATTATAACCCTATTTGTAGCTAAGGGATACTGCACAATAAGTATATCCACAAATGTATTACTTTACAGCTTAATTATCCCTAGGGCTTGCTTCCCTTAAAATAGGTAATCATCTAACATCAAGTTCTCTAAAGATGAAGTTTTGGGGGTCCATTATTAGCAAACACCCTGAAACATACCTGGCAAATATGAGATTGAGAGTATTCTCTAAATTTTGCCTCACTAGGATTTACAAGATTTTTCCATTTCAACAGTGTCAATTGTTTGTTCTGTGTTCTGCCTGACACAATGCATGTGGCTAGTTTTCTAGATTTTTCCTGCCAGAATGATTGCTCATAATAATATTTTTAACAAATAACTTTCCTTCAGGAAATCTCCTTAGTAGTTTTAGACAATAAAACTCAGCTTAGAAGGGAGAGGGAGGCCCCAAGGTGAGATCCAACATGCCGTTTCCCAAATGGGAGATGAATACGAGGAATGCGGGCCAGACAAGGTGTGTGCTCTGGGACATTTCCCTCCTGGCGAGTTCACCTTCATCGTGAAAGCACAGAGGACCGGCATGACAAATGCTTTATGGGAACATGTGGGTTCTGCCAACAAGACCCAGGAGGCCAGAATACTTACAGTAGCCAGAGACTGGAGGAGTTTAAATTCCCTGACCTCAAGGCAAAGAATTTGAACTTGGAACTTCATGAAAAGTCTGTACATCTAATCACCTCAAGGACTTCCATATAGAGGATTCTGTGGAATTGAAGGCCCCACCAGTTATAAAGTAGAGCTGATTTAATAAGGTTTTTCCCCCAAAAATCTCTTCATAATACATGTGTTCGATATAAATAATTGAATTTTTAGAATCCTCTTGCTCTCGAAACGAATATCAGATCTAGAAAATTAGGCTTAAAATTTCAATCACAACAGCAATAAAATTGATGCATACTGAACACTAACACAAATGTATAGATAGGAATCACGTAATTGAATGAAAGAACTAAAAGCAAACCTGAGTAAATGGAGAAGTATAGGTCATGGCTGAATAGGAAATGTTAACATTGTCTGAATTCTGAAGCATTGCTCTCAAAGTTTTGGATGTTACCAGAAGGGTGCCCACAGACATACTTGTTGTGCTAACATGAACTTTCATTAGCAGGCAAGAAAGCCCATCAGTTGCCAACTCAGGGAAAATGCAATTCAATCCATCCACTATCATAAGTCAGAGAACAGTTAGAGAGTTAGATTGAACTACAATATACCTTGATGAAAACACACACACACACACACACACACACACACACACAGCACTTTGATTGTGGGGAATTCCTATGCTAGACAGACTCCAGAAGTCCCCAAGACAGATTTCACTGCATAACAAACTTCTGGAGTTCAAAAGACATTTTATAAAAAACAAGAGAGCAGCAATTAGACTGACATAATTTTTATATATGATTAATACTGAAACAAAATAGAAAGGGAATAACCCACAATAAATGTTGAGAAAACAATTGCTTCTTCATAAGAAAGAAAATGGTAAAAAGGAAGTTGGTTGATCTCACATGATTCATCAGAGAAACATAAACTAAAAGTTTTTTATCATATAAATTCTGTAATGCTCTACAGAGAGAAGGTCAATATAGTGTCATTTAACCTCTAAAAATTGAATTTGGTACTTATCTTTCAAGTAACTGTGATTTTATAAATTTCTTTCAACTCTGTCATTTGCCAGATAAAGCATCATTTATGAAGTGGCTTCAGCATTTCTAACCCTATGCAGCAAGCCTTTTCCATTTCATCTTTCAAACAGTCCGTATTTTACTTTTTTTTTGTAATTTACATGATCATTTTTAATGACTTAACGTTTCATCCACTTAGAATTTACTTTAAAGAAAAAGTACAGTTTGGTATTCTTCTGTATTTTTTTCTTTCAAGATTGATTGATTGAGTTGAAACAGCAATGGAGAGATAGAGAGCAAGACAGACAGATAGACAGAAAATGGGGACCCGGACTGAAACCAGCAGCCGGAAATTCCACTTGTATCTCCCAAATGGATGTCAAGGGCTCAAGCACTTGGTCCATTTTCTGCTGCCTTCGCAGGTGCACGACTAACAGGATGCTGCATGGGAAGAAAAGTGGCAGGGACTTGAACGAACACTCCAATACGGGATACTAATACGGTAAGCAACAGCTCAATTTCCTTAGCCGCAATACCAGTCCTTCTATTTTTTAAACATATGATCAGCAGGCTTCTCAGCATCCTTTACTAAATATTCTTTCCTCTCTTCAGTGAGCAGGGGTGTCACACTCTCTCCATGTCTAGATTCTATTGTGTCCCACCACAGAATACTGTGTATTCTTGTGCCGCTGCCAAAAAGTCTTCATGCTGCCCTTTCATAATATAGTTTAATATTTCTAATGTTCTATGTCACTCATTACCTTTTTGGGGATTCTACTAAGTTATTTTTGTGTTTTGTGTGACTTTTTTCATCCAATTCCATTTTTACTAGTGGAATCACTGTTAATGTAATTTTTTTTTAAAATGGGAGTGCCTTGCAGAAAAACATCCCAGTTCACTGGACATACGCGTTGTAGAAGTCACTCTCAGGTTTTCGCATTGAGCTGGTCAGCGCTGTGTGCACATTGCGCCACTAGGTGGCAGGGCAGGAATGCAGCAGAGGCATCTGGCTTCAACCACTGTGATCATAAGCCTGAATCCCTAGCCCCTCGCTGTGGGCCTGGAGAGGAACCAAAGTCTAAAAGAAAGAACTCCCGTTTTCAAAGTGTAAACAAAGTCAGCAGACTGAAACCACAAATCAAATAGTAAACAGGAAACCAGCAACATGGGTAGAAGCTCCCCTCACTATGTTATCCTACCAGTATTGTTTTAGAATCATCCTATTCCCACACAATTTAAGTGATCAATATAGATATCCACCTGTACTTTTCTATTAATTTTACAAAATAAAATTTATGCCAATTTGAAAACTTGAAAAAAAACACTTCCCAGTAAAAAAAAAACAATAAATCACATTATCTTCATATAGGGTTAAATCTTTTGTGGGAAAATGGAATGTAATTATGAATTATATTTATCACATTAAATTAATACTACACATGATACTTATCATAATCAGACTATATGGTAAAGTCTTCACCTTTAGTGGTACCTGTTTGAAGAGATAAAGTGATAAAGAGAAGACAGAGGAGAGAATGTGAGATAGAAAATTCTCTCATTCACTTCTTCATTCCCTGTATTGTTCCAACAGAGGGCCAGGCCAAAATCGGGGAGTCAATACAGGTCTCCAGCTTGGGTTACAAGAATTCAGTGGCCAGAGCCACGACCACTGTCAGGAGCAAGAGTCAGTACTGAACTTCCAAACACTCAAAAATGCATTCCTGGGCATCTTGGCCATCAAGCTACATTTCTATCCTATCTTTTGAATTTTTCAACTTTTAGATTAAAAAAAAAAACATGATTTTTTTGTTTCTTTTCCAGTATTGCCAGATTTCATTGAGTAGAATGACTGGATGTGAAATGTTTGATGTGGCCCAGGACAGTAGCAACCCATGAGATGTGGTCTCTCCCACCACATAACTGTTCTTGGGGAGCTGGGGTGAAAAGCAAGGACCTGTGAGTAAAGGAGATGTGTCAGAATATCGAAGCAATGTAGCAGAATTGGAGCAACTGTTCAATAAGTGATATTTGCAATTCATTTAGGCAATGCAAAATAATAATGATGGAAAAACATTAAAAAGAGGAGAAAGCAAGATCTGGATATGTTTCCAGAAGTTAATCATCAGGTTATATACTCAGACTCCTTTCCAAAAACACGAATTTCCTATCATGGTAAACAAATGCAAAAAAAAAGCCCAATTCTAGAACTGTAAAAAGTAGCTTACAGTAACTATTTAAGAACCAGTGAAAGAATAATTAAAAAGTGGATGTGGCAAGCACATCTCTGTTTACTAAGCTGAGTGTGAGCACTTGGATGCTGGGAGACTGAGCCGGCTGGGTTAGCATCAGCCCTGTCCTCAGGGCAGCCATGACCCAATCTACACAGCTCTCTCCCTCAGAGTGGTTGAGAGGGAGCCAGGTCCTGCGGGAGTCCAGTAACACTGTACCCTTTGTGAGCACTATCCATTCTGGGGGAAGGAATGCTTGGACTGTGAAAGAATCCTACACAAAGACTGTGATGGGAGACGCGGGTGGTGCATGTAGGGGCTGCATTTCTGGTTCCCAGCAGCGATATTAATGGGTCTCTTTTCCCATTTTAATGGATCTGAAACAAGGGAATGCTCTACTTTGTTCAGGACCACAACAAATTGAAATATTGATTCTTCAAAATACAATAGGTAAAATCATAATGAACATTTAGATACAAAATTAACATCATGGGATCTCGGAACATTAAATATGATCTCTGAATACTGCAGAGATAACCAGGATTTATTAAGCAAGCAAAATATCACTAAAAATCTAAAAGTCATCAGGTAAAATATTGATCATTGTTTATGCAGATTTATTTGACAAGAAACTGACTTCAAATTCCAATTTCAAAATGTGAGCTGTGATCTTAATCAAGGTGCCCACAGCATGAGTTCCAAGTCCCTGATCTTACCACACAACACATTGTGAGAATTAGATGAGATCAAACACTTCATGAGGGAAACACTACCGTGCTACTTTCTTTAGCTGTTGTGTATGATAAACAACACAGACTAAGAATGAAAGCGATGTCTCCACTGA